AAACAGTAGTAGTAGTAGTGAAACAATGGGTGACGATACAGTACACTGATCAACTGTAACTACAGATATCACAAGTATCACAAGTCTGTAACACAATTATCTTTTGTCTTTTGTGTGTGAATATGTGCTGATGCTTGAGAGGGAGGAGGTTCATTGATACTTTCCTGCGAAGGTCTTTTGGCTTTCAGAGCCGTTCTGCACCGAACTCTTAGTGTTATTCTTGTAACTTGGAGTACAGGTTTCTAATTAATTGCTGTTTTATTGCCAGGATGTCCTTCAGAATGATGAACGGCTGCAGTCGAGAGTGCAACAAGCACTTTTAAGACAACCTCTTGATTTGGACTCAATCAGTTACAGATTGCCCTTGACATTTTCAGCAGTTCACAACAATCCAGAGGCAGCTGCTGAAGGGAAGACCCAGTACGATTATTCGCATCAGCTGCGTTACTTGTTAGACTCACAATTCTCTGAACCCTATACGGCTCAGTTATTACGCTTATTGTCCGGAGAATGAACTACAAGTGAAAGGATACTACAGCACCATGACTGACTGAGCCAGAGAACATTGTGAGGTTCATTGAAACCCAGTTTGAGGTACCGGAGTGTAGAGGAACGTAACTGAGCGATGGATGTGGATACAGCTGGAGTTCTGGCCCGACTCACACAACTTTGCTGCATTGTGCAAGGTCCCATTATATTGGTGCTTATTGATACCAATCACAGGTAGTTAGTCTTAGGTCTGTCTTTATGTCTTTTAAGATAAATTGGGCCTTGGTAAGGTTTTGGGTTAGTTCCCTGTGTTTACAGGAGGAAGCAGATTGAGAGAAATGTTGTGGATCACATTCGCTTCTGATTTAAGGTTTTGATTTGCATCATTACAGTTATTGGTTTAGCATTATGTACTAGGGTTGGGCGACTGGACGAATATATCTGCCATTGGCGATTTTCTGACTCCATCGCCGGTTGTTTGAGGTTGTTTTGGGCAATTTTCGTCATTTTATTTAGCTAATTTAAAGGTTGGTCAGACTTCTTTAGGGCCATCAAAAAAGGGAGGCCAGCAAGAGATCTGGGACCATCTGGGAAGTCATTGTAGGAAACAGTTTCGAAAAGGAAGTCAGTTTCAAACCATCAACGTCTATCAGCGAACTTAAGCCAATCAGATCAATGAACCATATAACCTCTAACCTCTACAGCAGCCATCATTAATGTTTAAACGTCTCGCTGCTTCTCACTGGCGGTACTGCCTCAAAGGACACTGATTAAAGGACAAACAGGAGGTTGTTTTTTTTCTCGGGACAAATCCATCAGTGGACGATTAAACCAGCAACTAGGTTTCGACAAGATGGCTGCCTCTCTCGGCGTCCTTAAGGCTGCCACTCTGGTTTCAGATTGTGTTTAGTTTTTTTGTATTTAGTCTGTTTGGTTTATGTTGGTAGTTTAAGTTGGCATCTTTCCAAGATGACAAACATACAGTTTATAATGTCCACTGGCAGTTCCTTAAATCTGCCCAGTTGGATTCCAGTTCTGAAGTTTTGACCAAATATAAAGTCTGATCTGACTTTATGTGGCAGTGAGGGTGTTCAGATGACTGTTTGAAGTTATTATTATAATTATTGATATCATGAGTGCTCTCCAACTCTTAATCCACCACAAAGAACAACATGCACTTAAAGCTTTACTCGTGTACCCACAAACTCCACTGCGAAAAAGAAAACATTGGCTTTTATGGAACCTAAGATTTGTTTACCACTGCCTTATACTGTTTTATTGATTGAGTATAAAGTTAAATTACTTAGAGTACGCCCAGTAAAAGCAGGAAGGTAAAAGGTCCAGAAAGGCACATTTTAGAAAGAGCTTGTTTATTGACTGTAACCACTGCAGTCATAGCCAGTAAAGCCTCCATCTCTTTCTATCTCATCTGTTCTTTCATAGTCTACCTTTCACTTACCTCCCCCGTCTCTCTTTCTTTGTGTCTCACTCTCAGTGTAGAGGACGGTCACATTGTCAGGCTCGACTGCCTGGGTAGCTGGGAACATCTCTTCACACCAATATGTCACTCAAAAAGAGAGAGAGAGAGAGAGAGAGAGAGAGGGTAAGGACAACATGAACCAGGCAGAAAAGAGTGAAGGGAGAAATATGAGTGAAGGACTGAAAGTGGAAGATGACCCCGGAGAATAAAACAGGAGAGGAACAGAGAACAGAACAATGAAGACAGTTACACAGACAGACAGACAGTTACACAGACAGACAGACAGTTTACAGACAGACAGTATGTGAGTTCATCTGAAGGCTGTCAACGATGATCCGTCCCTGAATCCTCTCTCTACCTCAGCCTGCTCGGGCAATAATAATAACATATCAGGGATAATGCCCGACGACGTGTCCGTTATCAACAATTAATGGATGACCTGGAGGCCAGAACCGTCTGTCGCCTCCACACAGTCCATTAATTCCCGATAACGGACACCTCTAAGGGCATTATCCCGCTTACACCACTGTCACTGACAAAGAAAAATATATAAGATCATTATTTTATATTTTCATGCATTTTTCGAGTACACCAGTTAAAATATTTATAAGAAAATATTTACAGAATTTCGCTTCAGAGCAAAGTTTTTTAATCAAGATAATGATTAACAGAAGTTTTCTAAGTAAAAGTTGCTATACTGGTATTTACAAGTACAGATAAGTACTGGATACTCGTTTCAGGTGAATTCACAGATTTTCTTTTATTTAGAACTTTCTCTCTGGCAGTCATCAGAGAAAGTTAACATTAGAATATGAAAATGTTGCACAAGGCCCAAAGAACAAGCAGCTTCTTCATGTTGTCTGGATGATGGCGAGCTGCATCAGCCAGAGACAGACGGTTTGGGTCTTTTAACAATTAATTAGCACGATGACAATAAAAGAATTCAGAATAAACTGGTAAAGCTGTTTATTGCATCGCATCAGTCATCAATACTTCTCAAACCACCGTGTGCTGCTTCAGATATCTGCTTTAACCACTATAAATATTCCTATTTTACACACAGCGACAGTTCAACACTGATTTATCAAATAACTAATTTACATTTTATTTTACTTATTATGTTATTGCAGCACAAAGTATTTAACTCAGTTCCTGCTGATAAAATCACCAAATTGGCAGCAGAGTGACTTCTCATTAAGATCCAATTTCCTTTAAAATACCAAGAAGTTGTTTTATGCTGCGTCTAAACTGAGAGACTCAGGAGGAAGGAAATG